AGCCTGTATACACTCACTATACTAAATTAGGGTGTGCAGAGAAGGGAAGAAATCAATCTGGATTCACTAAAGCGTTAAAGCAAATCTTCAAGAGGCTTTCTGACAACAGAGAGAAAGCACACCCCAAGAATAAACCCACCACCACCTCACAGACAAAACACTGTATAAAATGCATCCCGACGTTCCAAGGTAGCAAAGTACATGATTGAAAGGTGCAGGACAACTGAAACATATTTCTACTTACAAGTACCTGAATATCAGGTGTGCATACTCAGTTACCTCAGTTCATTTTCACCTGATCAGACCCTCACCTTCATATTCACAACTATACACGGCCATTTCCCAAAGCAGCAACGATATGGTTCAGAGCTATGTTTGTTTCACTCAAGCAGGGTTGGGTCCAGTCAGCTTTTCCACTGGTGAAAAAATGAGAAGGTCCCATGTCTGCCAAACAGACTACGCTGAGGATTCATCATGGTACCTTCACAGACAAAAGCAGCAAAGCGAACTGGGGGCTGTAATAAGGAGGGGAACTGGGCAAGACTGAGCAAAAAGGGTGGCTGGATCCAACCTGTTGCTTTTGGCAAGTTGTATGCATATGCAGCAGAATCGGGGAGACAACTGCAAGACTTCACATTCTGAAGGTTATTTTTCGCAAGTTGAGGACTATGAAACACACTTCAGCTCTAGAGAAGTTGCCTTCTTTGCCCTTCTCTGAGCACCAGAAAAAAGACGCTGGACCAATCCAGCTAAAGTTAGTTGCATCTATGTCCCACTGAAAGCAATGAGATTTTAAGTTAGTTGCGATTATTTAAAGAGGTATTAAGATATGCAAGAGCTTCACTTTGCTTCCCCTTTGAAATCACAGTTTGGCAAGGATGAAAGGCTGGTCACTTCAACTGAATGGAAAAACCTGTCTGCCGGCCTGTCTGCACTGCAGACTCCAAGCAGTAACCAGGTCTGCCATAACTGCTCCATGGCCGACATCACAGTATAAATCAGTCCCTAGATCCCAACGGCACTGTGCCCAAACTAGGCTAGTGCTATCAACCAAAGGTCACTACTGGAGTCAAGGAGAAGGTTATACTACTGAACACAAAAGGAGTCTATACAAAGATGCAGCTAGTGAAGCATTGGCACAGGGTTTTCTCGTTCCCCATTCTGAGGCCCACCTACGTTGACCGCTTCCTTTAAAAAAAACAACTGCTGGCATAGATGGCAACAAACAACGTTAGGCTTCACTATGCAAAATATTACGAGGCTGAGCCCAGCGTCTGCAATGGCCAACGGAATCAGCTCTGTAAGTAGGTTTTGTTACTCATCTGCCAGCCAAGATAGACTTGTGCCTGTCACTTGTGGTCTAAAAGGGGGAAAAAAACCTTTAGAATAAGGAGGTTACCTGGGTCTCAGTGTTTTCGCCCATTTTTTCAGGGTTTCTAAGGGAAGGGAGCAAAACCCCGGGAGAAGACAAAACTGAAGGGTGGCGGTGGTGGGGATTTCACGCCGTCAGGTACAGACAGGCCCTTTCAACCAGCTGACTGCTGTCCTCTGCTCCTGTTAGGCTTTGCCCCCTAATCTGTTATGCAAAATCCCCGAACTTTGGGGCTCTGTTCCTCTTTTCATAAGGCCTGATTTTCAAGGGGCATCCCTCTCTTGATCTAAGGGCATAAAGAACACCCTTTTCACGGGTGTCGACATGAATGATAACATGCAAGGCTGATAAAAAAAATATACCCCCCCAATGGAATTCTGCAACTCAGAGTGACCTGCACATATATTCACTTAATGTAAATTAATTTTAGAAGCACAATTTGAAGGTCCCCCCACCAGGATTTTAATTGCTTTTTTTTTTTTTATCGCAGATCAGGGACAAATAGGTGGAGACAAAAAGGTAGGGGGCAAAACACGTACAGAGGCCGAGAACCCGGGACCTCTGCTGAATGAAAGGCCACTCCTTTAGTACCAAGATCTTCCAAAGTAGTAGAAAGATCCACATCTCTCTAAAGATCCTATTAGCAGAAACTAGCCTCACACCTCTGGGAACGACTGGCCCACTGCAGGGGCTACAAATATGCTCTTTGAACAAAAGGTCACAGTCTCAAGAGTGCATGGCAAATACTAACTATTGCCAAGGGAGCATCCCACAGCCAGAGATCGAAATCTGAGCTCTTTGTACATGCAATGTACAAAACCCCCCAACTATTAACGATCTTCTGGCCCCGTTAATTACCAGTGATTTTTTTTTGTTTGTTTTAGCTACCAGCTGCAAACCTCAATTCAACAATGAGATCTGGGCAAGAACATTGGCTCCTTCGCATGCAATTAGAAATTACGAGGTCTTTACAGTGGCAATTAAAGACACCTTTTTCACAAGGTTATCCATCTTTTAAAGTCAAGCCCTGGTTAAGATGTAAGAAGAGTTTCATGTTTCTGGCCAGGCTCTCTTGAGGAAGAGGAGGAGCCTACCAGCGACCAAAGAAGGGCCAGCGTGACCCATTTGGGCTGCTCCTTTGTTCACAGTATCAGCACAGTAAGGACTTATTCAAGAAACTCACAGCTCCACAAAGAGCACATTCAGGATTCCACTTCAGCTCCGTGCCACCAAAATGAGGATGGATTCTGATGCATTCTACTTAAGAGAAAACGCCTTTTTGTTTAGCCATTACTACAATATCACCAACTCAGCAGAGAAACATTCCCAGTATAACTATATATAACATATGTATAGATAAATAAACGTAAGCCTTACAGTTTGGTAATATTTTTCTTAAAGTTCTATTTTTAAATGATTAAAATCTTTTTTTTCCCTTTTAAAGTAACTAGAAATATTTTTCCCAATGTTCTTTAGTGTAAAATTTATCTCTCTTTTTTTTGGTAAATTTGAAAGCTATGACTAAAGCAGCATAAATATTTGAATCTCCATTTCCCCCTCTCCCCCCCCTCACTTCAATCTTAGTGAGAATTTGTGGGGAGGGGGGGATGTCTCTTCTAACTCTTTAAGATGCTACGAGCTGACTTATATTTGGTGGTTCTTTTCCTGTAACTACAACGGGATATTCACTGGTTGCTGCATTGTGCCATGAGGAATGGTGTGGAGTGGAAGGACATCAAAAAAGAAAAAGGAAATGAAAAATAAAATCAAAGAATTCTCTGCATTCAATTGTTCCTCCAGCCAAATATAAATTAAGAAAAATGTCCTCATTTTTTACAAGCAAGAATGCTTGTGGCCAGCGTTCCCTCTAAGCTGAGTTAGTGTGAGCTAGCTCACCGTTTTTTAGCCTCTGGCTCACAGATTTTTGTCTTAGCTCAGGAAGAATGGCTCCAGAGCAAACTAATTCATGCAGCAGCCAAATTGCTCACTCACAACTTTAATGCCAGGAGCTCACCAAGTAGAATTTTTGCTCACAGGACTCCACAGCTTAGAGGGAGCCTTGCTTGTGGCCCGTTATCGCAACAAGAAGACAGCACAAGACTGTCTCATCAAGGCCAGCTTGACCACCCCCCTTCAGTTTTCAATCGCCTTCTTCCTCTTTATACCTTCCCCACTGGCTTCTGTTTCAGGCTCACCTCATCAGCACAATATCGATTACCGGCTGCAAAACCAGCTTCGTACGTCATTGTGACTCAACACCAGAACTCAAAGCGGAACTTAGAAAAACTGCTGTGTGTTTTTGCACAAGGCTCTTCATCGCATTTTCAAGGTATTTGCTCTTCTGCACCTGTTACCCATTTCACTTAAGCAACTTATCAGAAAACAACAATATAGGCAATCTCTATTACTGGGTTTGACAGATGCATCCTTCTCTTCACCAGCAACTTTAAATGTAAAATACTGCACTGGCACAAGGAAGAGTTATCCTTGCTTGTAGGCATTGTAAAATGTTGACCCTCCTGAATAATTATTAATAAAGGAGAACCTTTTTTTTTGCTTTTTTTGCATACAAAAATACCAAATAAGTAGACGCTAACAAACCAACCAACCATCATTCCCCCCCCTCCCCTCAGGAATTAACTATTTTGATATACAAATATTGCTGTGATATTAGATCAAGTGCAATGGAGGCAAACAATGCGCTTTGGGGCAAGCCACGGTCTTAGTGACTCATCTTGACTGGGAAACCTGATCCTCTTCTTCTCGGCCTTGGCGCTGAGCAGAGACCGACCAGGGATTTCAAAGTGTTCTATGCTATCCATGTTTAGCAATCTGGAAACGTCAACCACCAAAACATGGCTGTGAGGTTCACAGCTGCTATCCTCATTTTTCAGTAGCTTAGTTATTTAAATATTGTATCACCTCTAAAATACTGCTAAAAAAAAGCCTGCCTGCCTCATAATAAAACAGGCAAGGCCACGCACCTTGAAAGGGCAAGCAAAAATTTTAAAAGCCCTTAGATAACGTGTTAATTTCTTAAAAAAAAAAAAGACACACCAAAATAAAATGAGGAAAAAAAACACACAGGCAAGGTAGTTTCTACCAGGACAGCCACTCTTCTCAGAAAAGAATTACCTGGGAAATGGGAGGGGGGTTTAGAAAGGGAGAATTAACCAGTTCTTGTCCCCATAGCTCCTATGGTGGTGCAACAACTCGGGTGAATGGAGACCTGATGATCTGCACTCATCGCAACTTAGACCTCTGCAGCCCATGCGACTATACGGTCAGAGGAGCTGTTGCCAAGAAATAAAAAGAGCTGTTCCTCCTGGATCGCTACTGAATATATATATATATATATTAAAAAGCCCCCCCCCCCAAAAAAAAAGCTGTCAATCCCTGAATCAGAGGTTGGTTTGACCCAGTTTTCACCCCCCCCCCGAAGATAAGAAAGGGGGGGGTTTTAAGGTTTTAGCACTTTGTTATCATATCTCTTCTATTTTGGCAACATCTCGGGAGCTTCTTTGCCCGGCGGTGACATTACACGAAGCAGATCGTCAGCTTGCCATCTCGACGTTGTCTGCTTACAAGCTAAGAGAGGGGTCTCCCCTCATCCACCTCGCATTCCACCTCAGTCTGGGCCAGTAGTGGACACAGACCCCTGCGCTGTCTCCCCCACAACACCAGCTTCCTCCCGAAGTGGAGACTCTTCCTCTGCCTGCCCTCGCGAGGTGACCGTGGTCTCGGGGGAGATGCTGTGCGGCCCCTCCAGAGGCAAGCAGCCCGGGTGATTCTTACGAAAGTGCTGATTGAGGATGGCCTGGAAGGGGAAGCTCTTCCCGCAGACGTGACAATGAAAGGGCTTGTTACCCGTGTGTTTGCGGATGTGGTACTCCAGCTGATCTTTGCGGGTATACTTCTTGCCACACATACGGCAAACAAAGGGCGTGATGCCCATGTGGAGTCGCATGTGCCGGTCCAGGCTGCCCTTCTGGTTGAAAGATTTGGCGCAGTAGATGCAGGTGAGACGTGGGTTGTAGCGAAACCACCGCTCGGATACTTCTTGTTCACGGAGATATTCAACGTAGCCGCTCACTCCAACTATCGCAGAGTCTTCCACCTAGAGCAAAAACATTACAGATATGGGAGGAAATGCAATTAGCAAAGTTGCCTTCTTTTTTGAGCCGATGATTCCAGCCCCCAAAGAGAATGCTAAGTTATCTGAGATGTAAAGACGATGATGAGCGCTACCGTGGGGAGACCCAGCTTCAGACCCATGCTCTGGGGCAAAGCCGCTTTTGTTTGCTCCTGTCTTCATTCATTCATATCTGAAACAGGTTTTGGGAATGTGGCTTACGGCAAGAGGCAGGTAGATAAGGGGAGATGAGGAGCCCTACCCTCTCCTGCGATCCATCACTCTTGGCAGGTTTCTCTGTATCCTGGCTCACTTCTGGTAGGGGGAGAAAAGTAGCTGCAGCGGCAGAAAGTGAGGAGGGAAGGGAACAGGTAGAGTCTCAGCTCCCTTCACCCACTACATGCCCACTTGATGCACAAATCAAATTTCCAGCATTCCCTGCCTGATGGGTGAATGGGGCAGTCACCGGAGCGACAAAAGAAGGCTTTTAATGGTAGGCGTTTTAACGGTAGGGAAAAATCGAACACAGCATCGATACGAACATCCACAAAACTATTTCATAACTACAGGCCAATATACAAACACAATTAAAAGAGAAGTTACTGAGATATTTCAGATGTGTTTGTGTCTTTAAAAAAAAGAGGATAAATATACTCCTAATGCCTGATGTAATGTGGTTGCAGGGATCTTTTGGCAATGCAGAATCACTGTGAAAATCCTTCATCGGGATTCCACCCATGCTAACTAACTCCTGCAGCAAAAGAAACCCGGGTGGGGGGTGGGGGTAGCCCTGCTGTGAAGAGAGGGAATCAGGTAACGTTATCCCTCCTCATTCTCCTACAAGCAGGGATTCTGCCAGCACAAGGCGCTCTGCTGAACTAAGACAGAAGAATGGAGGGTGTTACCCCATTTCGCTCTCTTCACAACAGTCCCCCATGGCATTTTGCCCACAGGGCTCCCAAGACTTCAAAAACATCACCTTTATGGAGGTCTCGGGAGAAGGCAAGAAAATTCTCTAGCTGCCAGCACCTTCCTTCATGGCTTGCAGGATCCAGCCCTTTGTGTGTGAAAAGTAGTCATAGTTGAGGGGATGTTACAGAGGCTTACAAAACCGAGAAACTAGCACTTAGAAACACTGATAAAAATATGACTAAAATGTGGAAATCATTGTCAGAGGATGTAGTGGTAGTCACAGGCACAGATGGCTTTAAAAGGAAATTAGACAGATTCATGGAGGATATTTCTATCAGTGGCTACTAGCCATTGTGACTAAAGGGAACCTCTGCATTCAGAAACTTCTGAATACCACTGTCAGAATGCAACATCAGGAGAGGTCCTTGGCCTCTATGCCCTGCTGTTGGACCTCCAGAGTAACCAGTTGGCTACTGTGTGACACAGGATGCTGAGCTAGATGGGCCACTGATCTGAACCTTCAGGGCACTTCTTCTGTTCTTAATAAGTCTCATTGCAAAACTCAAAAGAATTCAATGAAACAGACCGATAGTAGGTCCAGAATAAAGAGAAAGAACTATTTCTTCATGTAACCCTTAATATGCTTAAGGAACTTGTTGCCAGTAGGTACTGTTGATGGTCACAAGTACAGGTAGCTTTTTTAAAGGATTGGGGGGGGGAATCAAATCATAGGCCTGTCAACATCACTGACAGCTAAAAATGGAACCTCCAGTGTTCAGAAGCAGGATACCTCTGATTGACACTTGCCGGGGGACAAGGAATAAGAGAAGGCTGTCTCCATCATGCCTTGCCCACAAGATTCCCAGGATTTCTGGCTAGCCTTTGTCACAGACAAAACGTTTGCATTCATTTATTAAAATATTCATACCCAGCCTTTCCTTGTGGTTCAAGGCAGTCTTTCCTTATGGCTCAATAGAGAGATCTTTCACTAGACCTGTAGGGAGAGCTCTCATTTACTTACACAGAAGAATAGAAAAATATTTGGGAGCCTTGAACAGTCAACAGTATATTTCTTCTTCTGTTGAAAGTGGACCCCCCGACTCACCCGCAGGTCCCATTTGCGGCCCCGCACGGATGGGGATAGCCAGCGGGGCGATGGCGGCCATGGTGGGCCACGTCCTGCAAGGCAGGATGGGCTGTGGAGGCAGCTTAGGGGCTGGGTGGCAGTAATGGCGGGAAAACTTGGCCCTCCCCCTCTCAGGAAAGCCTATGATAGGGCCTGAGCCAGGCCCAGGGGATGGGGAAGGGCCACCAGGGGGGACAGCCCGCTGCACCGCCCAGCCAGCTAACCTGGCCGTGTGGGGATCACTTGCCCACCCATCCCTCCCTGAGTGTTAATGCCTCGTGGGAAGAAGGCATGAGAGGGGAGAAGGGAATGTGCGGGTTATGTTCCTGTTCAAGGTGTTTTCTGCTTGCACATAGTCCCGCTGGGGAGAAGGGGATGTGCAGGTTATGTTCCTGTTCAAGGTGTTTTCTGCTTCATTTATCTGCCACAGCCTTGGGGCGATATCGGCATGGGGCTGGATCCATTTTAGGAAAACCGACCTGTGTGCCCATTTCCCCATTGTATGGGGATCCCCTTAAGGGATCTTGTGCTGAGGGCTTTCAAGGATGTCCCTCAGCTCGGGGGCTGCCAACAGGTCACCCTCATGCTCAGCTGGCAAAGACCACTTAGTGGCCATTGTCCTTGTGGAATCCAACGTTCTGCCATCCCCTGGCTCTCCCCACCCCAGCAGGTGGGCTGGGGTGGGACGGGGTACATGGACTGTCAGGCAGCTCAGTTGATGCCAGGATCTGGTGGACCCACGGAGTGCCAAGGCTTCTTACAGCTGTAACCAATAAAAGTTGTGGCCGTTTTATTCCGGACTTATTAAGAACAGAAGAAGTGCCCTGAAGGCTCAGATCAGTGGTCCATCTAGCTCAGCATCCTGTGTCACACAGTAGCCAACTGGTTACTCTGGAGGTCCAACAGCAGGGCATAGAGGCCAAGGACCTCTCCTGATGTTGCATCCTGACAGTGGTATCCGGAACGTGTGTTATTGGCAGTTTGTTGTAAAGAGGCCCTCTCCCCTTCCCTGGGTGCTGGGGTAGCGATTGGTTTAAACCGGAGATCTCCCAGGAGCCTTCACTCAGCATGTCAGAGCAAGGAAGAACAGCCTAACCACACAGAATAAACCACGTTGAATATCATGATTTAGCTTTACTTGGTATACTTGATGCTTCTATAACTTTTTTGGCTATGCAAATTAACAGAAACTGAAGGATATGTTGTGACTACAGAAGATGAATGTTCTTAAACGAGCTCCTTTTCAGCACCCCACTTTTCACACAATGCAGAGCGTGAAAGTGAGAGTTTGCTCGTGATGTGCAAGCTCTGGCAAACAGCTGGGCTCTCACACAGGCTCACTTTCTAGACAGAAAAATTAGAATGGCTTTTAGAAGGAATTAGAAAAATAACTGTGCAGCGGCCATTTCTGAAACCACAGTCTCCATTTACAGAAGCAAACAGACCGAAGTGTATCAAAAAGTCACCTTCTACAGGACGGGTCCAACAGAGAAAGCAGCCGACTGCCAATGTTTGTAACCTACAGCTTCCCGGATAAAACCTCTCCAGCACAACATCAAGGACCGACAGCCTCTCTGGGAGAAGGATCCTTCCTTGTCACAGGGCTTTGCAGAGGAAGGTCTGTCTTTGCATACAGATAGCCTCGCCCCACACCTGAAGCAATACCCACAATGGAACAGCCAACAACGATGTGAACTCAAGGATGAGCCCTTTTGAACGAACCCCAGTACCAATTCCGTCCCCATACCTACCTAGACACCACCATCAATGAACCCAAACAATGTCATCGATGGCTCACTTATTTATACATTTTCTGCTTCGTTCAACAATAACAACCCAAAATTAATCTTTCTTCCTCAAAGTGGTGGCCATGTTAGTCTGCTGCAACAAAAATAGGCAGGAGCCTAGTGGCACCTTACAGAGCAAGATCTGACTTCCAGTGTAAGCTTCTGTGGGCTAAAGTGCACAGCACCTGAGAAGTGGACTGAAGTCCACAAAAGCTTACGCTTGTTACCAAGGAATAAAACCTTGTTAGTTTTCAAGACACCCAAGGACTCCTGTTTATCACTGTTCTCTGGCTCTCTAATGTTATCTTGTATTGCTAAACCTTTTAAGCTCCCTGATCCTTCCCCATCCTATGTTGTGTGTTAGCAACTGACGGGCAGGCCTTTTGGGTCCCCCCCCCCCAATTGCGAAGTGTACTACATATATCCAAACTTCTGAGAAAAACGAAGTAAGGAACACCCACCTGGGAACTAGGTTGCTTGGGTTCATCCATTCGCCATGGAGACTCGCTTTTTGACCTGTACCGCTCATTTACAGTAACCACACTACCAGAAGGGCTAAATCTAAAGATGAAAACAGAGATTAATGGCTAGTTAGGCTATATAATTAAAACAAGATGAGAAACAATGCAACTGCCTCTCCATAACTTGTCGATAAAGTAGTATGTGGGACAGAATGTGGAACACATTATATATTTTTAAGGCAAAATTTTTCTAGGTTGCAAGTGAATGTAAACTAGCATAAAACTGGAAACCCTGGAGTTATACCCAGATGATCTATGGCACAGTTCAGTTTCTTGGGACAAGGAAATGATTTAGGAGGGGAGCAGAGGATGAGCTGCCTCAGGGCAATCCACCCAAGCAAAAGGTTCAGAGACACCTAATACTGAGAAACCCTTGTAGATAAATGAATTCAGGATAGAATTGCTCTCAAAGCTCTTGCAGACTGCTTTAAACCCCGTTAATGCATATTCCACCATTTATAAGCAGCAGCACCCCCATCCTCAAAAGGGGACTTGGACAGGGGAGTCAAAGAGAAGAACATAGCAGTATACACAACAAAAGCAAAAGTTGTATGTGATACACAATGCTCAGTAATCACTTTTTTCCCCAAGGGCAGTCAAAAATGCCCTCTTAGTATTTCCATTTGAACTCCAAGAAAAAGAAACAAACTCAACTCAGCCAGGCCGATGCATGGTTAAGTAAACCTAGCTATGTTCTACTATGTTTTACCATGATCTCTGAATTAACAAACCACCGCTAGTGACCAGCTGGCAAAACAGGAAGCGGGACTTAAAGCAGGTTAAGCACATGACAGCTTGGTTAATTATGGTTCGGCATGAGGTCTGCACTGAATAAAGCAGGTGTTCAATTGACTTTTTTTTGTGTGACTCGTGAGGAGAGAACCGGGATTAAGCTAGTTGAGGTTTCCTTTCTTTCTTTATTAGTTACCATCATAGATCAGTCACGATTGACACAGTTGAGGTTTTTAACATGTATTACATTTTTAATCCACGTCCTATATACTCTACGAGACGTGTGCTCTAAAAAGACTTCAGGATCGGGAGGCTACTTAACAAACACAAAGGGGAAAACTGGGAGAAACCATTGGTTTACACCAAATGCAGTGACGATCAATAAATACTAGTACAGGAGTGGCCAGCGGGTGCAGTGGGGTTAGTGTGTCAAACTAGGATCTAGGAATCCCGGCTTCAAATCCCCACTCTGCTATGGAAGCTTGCTGGGGTGAGCTTGGGACACTCTCACACACTCACAGCTTAAACTACCTCACAGAGTTGTTGTGAGGATGAAACGGAGGAGGGAGGGACTATTGTAAACCGGTTGGGGTGTCCACTGGGGAGAAAAACAGGGTACAAATGAAGTAAACAAATAAAAGTGTAACAACGCCCATGCTGAAAGCCTCAGGCTCTTACTGTACAAGCCGTTTCTAAGAAAAGGCTAACGATCTACCCAAAAATTCCTCATACCCATCCTTTTAAAGGAAGACCAACGTTCTACAGCAACCGGTTTCCCAAAAACCAACCCCCTCTTCGCCATACTGATCTGGCCAGATCTCTTTCTGACTGTCAAGAGTACCTACCGAAGAGGCCCACATCTGAATTGGCATGACCCCTCCTCTGCCTTACGTGAGGGATGGAATCCCACCACTACACCCTGACTGCCAAGATCGATTTTTAGTATCTTCTGCTATCAAATCCCCTACCCATCAGCCTCTTCATTCCTTTTGTCAAGCCCCTCCCCTCTCCCGTTATACTTCTCGAAATCCACATTATTCCTTATTTACAGAGATGTGGCTCCCTGTATTAAGCTCTTTTTTGCTGAACGTGACATCTTACCAAGCAACTAAGTGTACCAGGATATGATTTTTCTATGATAGTTCATGTTTGAATTTGAAACATGGCTTGACTGTTTATCTTTTGCATTTTGTGTATTTGTTACTTGGTTATTTATTATGCTTCACTAACTGTAAATTTTTGACTTGATAATCCTGTAAAGATTTGACACGGAAGGTTGTGGGGTTTTTTTTGGTATGTGTGTGTTCTAATCTTTGATTATTTTGTATTTGTTACTTTTTTAAAAATGTTTTTTTTCCAATTTTTAACAATTCTAACACTTCAAACAGTGAACAATTAATCTTCCAATTACATTCACATCCTGTAAATAGTTCCTGAGTATGTACAACGTTATAACATGTTCAAAGAATTACAATACATTACTCATCACACTTCCCACCCTTCACTCAGAGTCTCAGAGCGGCTTACTTTCTCCTTTCTTTCCCCCTCCCCACAACAGAGGTACCCTGTGAGGTAGGTGGGGCTGACAGAGCTCTTTCGAGGACTGTTCTTGAGAGAGAGCAGCTCTGAGAAAGCTTAGGACTGACCCAGGGTCACACCAGCGGCTGCAAGGGGAGGAGTGGGGAATCAAACCCGGTTCTCCCAGATTAGAATCCGCGCACTTCACCACTGCACCAAACTGGCTCTCAAGCCACGTAAGGTCACTGTAAGTCAGCTGTGAATTGAACGGGGGGGGGGGATTAATGATAAAACAGTAACAACATAAACTGCAAATGGGTCCAAACTGGGGAGGTGTCATTAAAATCGCAGTAGAATGATAAAACCCTAAAACTTGGGTGCTCCCACAGAAAAGGCCCTGCATCTGGTCACACCCACCCCAAGTACATCCGAAGGCAGGGAGCCTAAACGAGAGCTTCAGAAGCAGATCTCAGGCATGGCCCCCTTTCATTAGGCTCTGTCGGATCTGCAGAAGAAAGGCGCTTGCTGCTGGGAAGTGGTGGGTTGTCATTGGTGTATGTGCTGAATGTTGTATTCTGCCTTCCGGGAGAGAAGGGCTGCTGTTTTCCCTTCTCTGTGCAAATCCAACCCTGATCATTTTTTTCTTTTTCTTATTTGTACAGATGAGCCTGATGGAAGACGAGGTAAGGCGCTTACTTCATTTTGCACATTCAATGTATATTCTGGGTTTTTAAAAGAAGAAGAAGAAGAGATTGGATTTATACCCCGCCCTTCACTACCCAAAGGTGTTTCAGAGCAGCTTACTAACTCCTTTCCCCACCCTTCCCCACAACAGACACCCTGTGAGACTCCCTTGGGTGGTGAAGGGCGGGGTATAAATCCAATCTCCTCCTCCTCTACCTCCTCCTCTTCTTCCTCTTCTTCCTCTTCTTCCTCTTCTTCCTCTTCTTCCTCTTCTTCCTCTTCTTCTTCCTCCTCCTCTTCTTCTTC